CCCCCCCCCCCCCCCCCCAGACCACCATAGGTAACACCCACATCCAATGAGTGGAAAGGCCGGGCCGGGGGCAGTCAGACTGGAGTGGAAATGAGGCGGAGCTCTATCTGACTTGCTGCAGCTTCAGATGCACATTGTGAGAAGCTTCCAGTGTGCAGTGACATCAGAGGAAGAGGAGCCGGTACAACTGTGCAAGACTGAAGGGGGAGGACGGAGGTCAGACAGAAGACTGAAGGGAAGGACGGAGGTCAGATAGAAGACTGAAGGGAAGGACGGAGGTCAGATAGAAGACTGAAGGGAAGGACGGAGGTCAGATAGAAGACTGAAGGGAAGGACGGAGGTCAGATAGAAGACTGAAGGGAAGGACGGAGGTCAGATAGAAGACTGAAGGGAAGGACGGAGGTCAGATAGAAGACTGAAGGGAAGGACGGAGGTCAGATAGAAGACTGAAGGGAAGGACGGAGGTCAGATAGAAGACTGAAGGGAAGGACGGAGGTCAGATAGAAGACTGAAGGGAAGGACGGAGGTCAGATAGAAGACTGAAGGGAAGGACGGAGGTCAGATAGAAGACTGAAGGGAAGGACGGAGGTCAGATAGAAGACTGAAGGGAAGGACGGAGGTCAGATAGAAGACTGAAGGGAAGGACGGAGGTCAGATAGAAGACTGAAGGGAAGGACGGAGGTCAGATAGAAGACTGAAGGGAAGGACGGAGGTCAGATAGAAGACTGAAGGGAAGGACGGAGGTCAGGCAGAAGACTGAAGGGGAAGGACGGAGGTCAGACAGAAGACTGAAGGGGATCTGGAGTTGATGTTTAACAGCACGGAGAATCTTCTGGTCGGATGAAAGTTCCCTTTTATACAGTTATTAATTCCTGTAGCAGTGTGGAAACTTTTATACATCCCGGTGTCACTCTTTTCCATGACGTAACCTGTGTGCCATCTGCGCCGTCCCTTTAAGCGTGTACACGATGGCGCTTGGCTGTGCACCTGGGGATGACATCACGGCGAAGCCAGACGCCCAGCAGACAACAGGGAAACCAGATCCAGTCGAGCAGCATTTCTGTGCGAGCTTATTAATTAGAGACGTCATTCCTCCCAGAGGAGAGATCGGGAGCCGCGGGAACCCGAGCCGAGAAGGTGGACGCGGCGTAATTCCTGCGCCGCGCATTCCTCTGCAGATTACAGGTACAGGTAATCTGTACAGGAGGCCAGGTACAAGTGCAGAGGAACATTATATTATTACGCGGCTTAAGAACTAAATAGATCCTTTCAGAATTCCTCCGGTTATAATGACCTCCAATTCATGTGGGAGGGAGAGAATAAAGAGCATTTCAGGGGTAAAAGTTTGACGTTTAAAAGGCGAATTGCTCGGCCCCGGTATAGAGCCGCGCGCGGCCCCGAGGATTGTGGGAAAAGATGTCTGAAGGATAATCATGTGACTTCAATACACCAGGGATCTCATGTTCACATGTACAGGGAAGGGGCACAGTGTCATGGCTGTCCCCCCCTCCCCGCCCCGCTCTGATCTGAAGGGGTCCCTATATTGGGGACTTATAATGGTTCTGTACAATTGTACACGGACGCCGCTGCTAATCTGCAGAGGAAAGTGTGGTGCAGGAATTATGCCGCGTCCACCTTCTTGGCATGCACAGTTACTCAGTTTCCCGGGACATCACCCGGCACATGGACTGTACATGCACAGTAACTCAATAGAGGGTGACCCTGCGTTCCCGGGACATCACCCGGCACATGGACTGTACATGCACAGTAACTCAATAGAGGGTGACCCTGCGTTCCCGGGACATCACCCGGCACATGGACTGTACATGCACAGTAACTCAATAGAGGGTGACCCTGCGTTCCCGGGACATCACCCGGCACATGGACTGTACATGCACAGTAACTCAATGGAGGGTGACCCTGCGTTCCCGGGACATCACCCGGCACATGGACTGTACATGCACAGTAACTCAATGGAGGGTGACCCTGCGTTCCCGGGACATCACCCGGCACATGGACTGTACATGCACAGTAACTCAATGGAGGGTGACCCTGCGTTCCCGGGACATCACCCGGCACATGGACTGTACATGCACAGTAACTCAATGGAGGGTGATAGGACGGAGGTCAGATAGAAGACTGAAGGGAAGGACGGAGGTCAGATAGAAGACTGAAGGGAAGGACGGAGGTCAGATAGAAGACTGAAGGGAAGGCCGGAGGTCAGCTTTAATGTCCACTTTGCATGCCCTTATTCCAGAAGCCGTGTCCCCAGTATACGATGGAGCACAGGGTCCCTACCTTCTTGTACTGCTGCAGCCCATCGTTCTCCTGCTGCATCCTCCGTCTCTCCGACTCCTCCGGTTTGTACCAATCAGGAACCACGTAGTCCGTTGGGCGGTCAGAACAGCAAATCTCACAGCCCGGGCGCGTAGGTACGTTGAAGAAAGTGCAGGCGGGACATGACCAGCCGACCTGGACAAAGGAATGAACGGGTCAGCATGTGAACCAAAATCATCTCTACAAACCATCCGAACCCCAAGAACAAAAAGGAGGAGGAGAGCAGACGACAGGGAGGAGTTTCCTGTGAGCTGGTCACCTTCTTATTGTTTCTGTGAAAAGGTGACCAAGCCCTTTAATTTCCTGGGACTCAGGGCTGCCTATGTGTACGCAGCATTGGGACATGTGACACACACACACACATACCTGGACATGTGACACACACACACACATACCTGGACATGTGACACACACACACACATACCTGGACATGTGACACACACACACTTATACCTGGACATGTGACACACACACACACTTATACCTGGACATGTGACACACAC